TTTTCATGTGGTTAGCTAATTTAAGTTTGTTCAGATAGCGTCTCCCTAGGTAGCTCAGGCTGGCCTTAGACTTGCAGTCTTCTTGACTCAGGCTTCTGAGTGCTGGGATTACACACGTCACTTCATTCCTAGCTACATTCATTACTTTTTAATCTCAAGTAGAAAATTTATTTAATATATTTTTGTTTTGCTTTTTCTATTTATGTTTTTAAAATTATTAGCTTTTTCTTATATTATTATTTATTATTATTACTTTGTATAATATTAATATTAGCTTTTCCTTAAATGTCTGGAAAATTTAACAATAGTTAAGCTGAATTTTCTTAGTGGGATTTAAAAAATATGTAATGTTTTATTGTCAATTTTTCTATTTAATCTTGTATATTATTTGGTATGTTATATTTTTCTAGGGATTTTTTCATGTCATTTGAATTTTCCAAATACTGCTGCATATTATTCACTTATTTGTTATAGCTATAATACCTGAGCCAGGTCTCCTCATTTCCATGGTTAGCAACATCTCCTCACTACTGTCTTGCCATGAACTGAACAGTTTGGTTTGTCCATTTGTCTAAAATTAGACACCTGTGTTGGGCTGTTGATTCTCTTCATTAGATATTCCCCTATCTTTTCCTGTTTCTTTATCTCCCCCCTTCTCTCCCTTTTTCCCTCACTCCCTTCTCTGCCCTTACCTTCATACAATAGTTTTTTCGTTCCTTATTTTTCTGTTTTTGGTGTTTGTTAGGGGGTCTCACTAAGTAGCCTTTGCTTGCTTTGAATTGAGATCCTCCTGCCTCAGCCTCCCAAGTGCTGGAATTACTGGTGTGTACCATGGACACCCTAGTGATTTTCTAGATCTTTCTCTCTCTGTGTCTCTGTCTCTGTCTCTGTCTCTCTCTCTCTCTCTCTCTCTCTCTCTCTCTCTCTCTCTCTCTCTCTCTTTTTTTGTTTTATTTTTGTTTTCTGAGACATTGGGTCTCTCTATTTCTTACTGGCCTGGTACTTGCTATGTAGACCAGGCTGGCTTTGAACTGACAGAGATCCACCTGCCTTTGCCTCTGTATTGCTGAGATTAAAGGTGTGCACCACCATGTCCAGCCTTTCTTCTAGCTTTATCAGGTAGAGGTCATTCATTTATAATCTCTATTCTCTATTTTATATCTATTCAAATACAAAAAAGTCTGTCTAAGCCCCATCTTTACTACATTCCACATGTTTTAACACTATGTTTTATTACAATTTGTTTCAAAGCATCATTTGATTGACTTTATGGTCTACTATGGGGGATTTAAAAATATGTTGCTCAAATCTTACACATTTGAGGATTTTATGACTTTTTTTCTATTGATATCTAACTTACTCTACTGCAGTTGAAGAATACACTCTGAAATTTCAGTCTTGTGAAATTAGTTGAAGCTTTATTGCCCTCCATAATTCATGTTTGATCAGTTTTCTTGAAGGTTGGTGTACACTTGCATAGCGTGTACATTTGAATTTACTGAATTCAGACTTCTAATGGCAACTAGTGAAAAAGAAACTAAATACAGGAGATAAAGAAGCAACAAGCAATAGCATATTAGATTTAAACCCGGATATTTTTTAATTAGATACAAGTGCACTAAATATTTCAATGAGAAGAGAGGATTGTCAGGCTGATAACAAAAGGGAAACATCAAGCATGTTGTGCGTAAAATCAATGCTTTAAAGATAATGGCAAAGCAAATTGATTAACATCAATTAAAGATGCTGTGCTGTTTCATGTTAATGGTTCAGGAATTAGTAAATATTCTAATTAGGTATGCGCTTAGTATGAAAGTATCAAAATATTTAAAGTGATACTGGCAAGCTTAAAAGAAGAAATTGATAAAGTTTCTACAATAATTTTGGGAGATTTTAACTTATCTCTTCAAATAACTAACAAAACAAGTAGGCAAAGATTAGTTAAAACTAGATCTAAATAATTGATCTTCAAACTTAACTTGGTTATAAAGACAACCACCTTTAGTCACCTGTACTCTGGCCACCTCCATGGCTCTTTCTTTCCTGTAGTATCTGCCAGTTTTCACCTGGGATCACATCCTTCACATCTGGAGCTGTTCACTATTTCAAATCTATTGCCAATTGAAGAAAACATTTTGAAAGTCTATTTTGCTCTCATTTTTAAAAGTTGTTTTCATTGGGTAGAGATATTGAAATGGGCTCTGTGGAGCACTTCGGATACATTCTGTTCTGTTCTGGTTTCCATTATTTCTGCTGAAGAGTAAATTAGTCTTACTAATCATTTGAAGGTAATTTGCCTCTTTCTTGCTGCTTTTTTCTTGTTACTTTTCTCTTTGCATTTTGTTTTCAGCAATTCGACTATGGTGGGCCTAGATATAATTTTATTTGTTTTTTAAAGCTTATTTATTATTATCAACAAGTATGTGTGTGTGTGGGGGGGAGTGAGTGAGGTCCAGGGATCTGCCTGTCTCTACCCTCTCAGCGTGGAGTAACAGACACAGTCCACACCACCCAGCTTTTATATGGATAGTGGGGATCAGAACTCAGATCTTTGTCCTTACATGGCAAGTACTTTACTGACTGAGTCACTTCCCCAACTTTATGTTCTTCATCACTATTTTATGTGTCCTAAGTAAATGTTTTATACAATTTTCCACTAGAATTGATATGAACACAATTGATATGACTACTCTAGGAGTAGAATGGAAGCATTGTGTGAGCTACACAGCCACTCAGGTTCATGGGGTGCTTCTTGGTTGATGTACACAGCGTGGATAGGCTGAGGTGAGAAGAGACTAAGCCAAGCTAGAGGAGAAAACATGTTCCTATCTTTAGGTTGCCGCTGATAGATACAGAAGGCAGTGCTAGCAGTCTACCTACCTCATAAAAGGATTTGTTCTATGGGTGAAGAGGTATTTTGCAACACTCCCATGGAATGCTAACAGAAATCAATCTACAATAAATAAATAAATAAATAAATAAATAAATAAATAAATAAATCTGAGATTTGAGAGCTATTGGTTTAAAGAGATGTATTCATTGCTAGACTTTTCTGAAATGTTTTTATTTTATTATTTTTATTTTATGTGTATGAGTGTATTGCCTGTATGTATGTGAGTGCACAGGTGGCATGCAATGCCACGGAGGTCAGAAGAGGCCTTCGGATTTCCCTGGAACTGGAGTTAAGGACGGTTTGTGGCCACTATGTGGGTGCTGGGAATCGAACCCGGGTCCTCTGCAAGAGCAGTCAGTGGTCTTAACCACTGAGCCATCTCTCCAGCTCCAGACTTTTTTGAATTTTTAAAGTGTGAATAACTTGCATAACCTCAGAAAATTTTTTCAGAATCCATGTTACTTAAATATACTTTAGAAAACTGGAGCATGTGGGCATTGAAATTGCATTGATGGGAACACTGTACTAGCATGAAAAGTCCATGGATGCTTGAGCCTCTTGGATATTGTTCACAGTCAAGCACTTGAGCAAAGATTATCTAGAAAACATATATTCTCAGTACATATCAATTGAGCAAACTGCCTATTTTATGAATAAATGAGGATTAGTGTCAGAATGAAATTTTTTAGTCATTTTTTCCTAGCAAGATCAATCTCATAATGTAGTACAGGATGAACTGTAAGAATAGGTCCCAAGAAGCTGAAATCTCAGGAAAAAGATGTTAAGTTTGTCCAGAATTGTAATTTGTTTTTGGACTGTGGTGACATCATCGAAAAATTAAAAAGAATAGCAGTGACTTTTTTTTTTGTAGTGAGAACTGACAAGAGCTCATGATGGTTTAGATGAAAGAGCAAGAAGCTTTCAAGATGTCGACTAAGTTTGGATAACTCTGACGATGGCAGAGCCACTCTAGGAAAGAAGGGTTTCTTACGTTTCAGTCTCATCTGCTTCCTTCACATAGAATAAAAATATGATGAGTTCATGGGGGAAGTTACTAATTCCAGGGAGTCTTTCCTTGTGTTTGAGTACTGTTCATATGAAATGAGCACTAGTTTCCAAGCAGGAAAAAAAAGTGTTAAAGGTCATTTCAATGAATGATACAGCAAAAAAGACCATTTAAAAATCATGTTGATAATATTTATGTAAAGACTCTGACAGCTCATAAAACATCTTTTTTTTCCAGTCTAATAACTTTGTGATATCTGCAATTAAGTGTGTTCGTTAAGTCATTTGGAATACTTGACAACTGAATAGCTATTTTGAGCTGCATCTTTTCCAACAAGAGGCAAAGTATTTGAGGATTATCAATAAATAAGACTATTATTTAAGCAGTGAGTGGGTGCGTGACATGGGAAATTAGTTTTTCTGTCAAGTTTAGATATAAAATAAAACTTAAGCAAACCCAGACTCTCACCACCCCCCACATGTCAATCAAACCTAAGGAGCAAAACCTAAGGAGTTTCAAATGTATGTCCTTAGAAAAGGTAGTGGATGGAAACAGCATAGGTGGTAGACTCACAGAATAAAATTTAACTTCATGAGTAATAAGTTGCTTCTTATCTCTTAGTCTGCTTCCTCAGGAAATGGGAAGAGTAAGTATTTTGTAGGACATAGGATTAAATAAGATAAAAGAATACCACCACAGGTCCTGTACATGTACATGTGCATCAGTGAATGGATACTGTTTTGTAATCCCTGAAATACAACTTCTTGTTTTTCAGATTTGCTTCCATATGAAAATTGTGTAGCATAGAAGTTTTCCTGAGAGGTTCCAATGAGAGATGCTGTGATGGGATTAGAAATGATAATAAAACTGATTGACAATAAGTATCAGAAAATTGTTTAAAAATGTTTTCAAGGGTTTTTACAGTTATATATGGTAATTATAAAGGTGAAGTGTTTTGTGGGGCCAGAAAAAAATGTGTCCTTGCAGGAAAATTTGCAAGTATGTACATAGTAATATTAAAAACCAGAATGAAGTTAATCTAAGTGGTAAAGTATACTTTTCATTCATTGTAATCAACATCTGTTTTCTGTTATAAAACAGTGAGAAGAAGCTCATTACAGATGCCCTTAATAAAAACCAGTTTCTAAAGAGACTGGATCCTCAGCAGATCAAAGACATGGTAGAATGCATGTATGGCAGAAACTACCAGCAAGGCAGTTACATTATTAAGCAAGGAGAACCAGGAAACCATATCTTTGTGTTGGCAGGTGAGTTTTGCAGATTTTCCAACTTATCCTATCAAATGCTTTTGCTTATTATAGCTTTTTTCAAACACTTATTTTAAAAAAACAGCTATGCAGCTATGCTATTTGTAGAAAGTGTAATGGAGTTTATGAAATGAGGGCATTGTTGATGTGATCTTGATGATGTTGCTTAATACTTCCTGGCTGCTTTCTGTGTATCTGGTATCTCAGTGAGGGCTTAGAGATCTCATTTCATCTTTTCACCAACACTATAAGGCAAGTGCTGTTACCACCATGTTATCAGTGGAGATGATGTCTCATGGAGGTTAAATAACTTAGCCCAAGGTCACATCACTCATAAGTGGTGGAGGTAAACATATAAGCAGGGAATCTGACTTTAGAATCCATATTATTAATCATAATGCTGCTCACTGAAAATGTTTCTATTCAAAATACAGCTACACATGTCAATTTTAGATAGTGGTACCAAGAAAAATTTAGTTTTTTGGCTCTGGAAATTATTTTGATTGTAGATCAAATGATTTCAAAGGATAATCTAGGCATATTTGCAACAAACAAATAAAGTAAAATGCTGTATTTTTGAGACTGGTGTTCTTTTAGAACCATTCAGTTTCTACTCTCTGTTTGAAACCTGATTACATGTAGGAAATAATAACAGATAGACAATAGATCTGTGAATTTTAAAAATGATTACTAAACAACTTTTTGTAAATAGAAGCAAGAAATTACTTAAACAAGGATTAAGGTTATTGAATGTCTTGTTAAATTCTAAATTCTAAATTGCCTCAGCTTTTTGATTGGTAAGAAAGAAGCCTAAACTGGCTTATTCAAGTGACATGGTAATTTGATCAATGCTATGAACTTCTGTTTTTCAATGTAGTTCCTGACCATCTAGGCAATAAAGCACCCCCCACACCTTGTTTCCTTGGGGCCTTAGGCATGGAGGATGGTGCAGAAGTCTTTTTTATCTAAACAAGTTAATGCATTTGTGTTATCCTATTTATAATATGCAGAAGATTTTCATATATTTTTATTCATTAACATATCAGTTTACTTATTTGGCTTTTGTCATATGAACTTTTGGGCAACTTTGAGGTTATTCTGTCTTTCCCATGTAATTATTCTACTTAAGTAGTGAATTATGATCTTAATTTAGCCAGCCTTTAATTTTGCAGCGATAGGCTATCCAGAGCAATTTTTCCTCCTGTAACTTTTTCCTTGTTCATTTCACATCTATTTTAGCAGCATGAGAGCATTCTGGCAAGGGAAGATAGGTCATTAAGTCAACAAATATTTATGGAACCTTCTAAGAGAGGACGAGAAACTCATGTCAGTCCATCTTGTTCCTTGCCAGTAATTCCGATGAAAGGCTTGGGGAGAGAAGAGGTTGAACAGAAGTCAGCATCAATGCAGCTATTGAGACCAGGCACATAGCATACATGAAAGGGAAAACTGAATGGTTTCTTATTTGAATTAATTATGGTGGCATCTAAAGACTAGATTGCCTGGCTTAATTATCTGGCTGAGCAGATTAGTTTGATAACTAAAAATGTCTCCTTTATAAAATAGAGTATGAATAGCAAATACTACAACATAGTTAGCTTAAACTCTTGATATTCCACAGAATTCTTCAGCATTACTCAAATCTCATAAGCCCTAACCAATTAAGAAACCCTGAAATGCATTAAGATACATGATATCAACTGGACAGTACCACTCAGTGGTTTTGATGGATTAGAATTAGCTATAATAGGAAATTACTATTCTGCATGTCTAATTTGTGGGGATTTAGAACCAAAAGAGGTTTTTTGTTTTTTCTTGTTAGAATATAAGTTCTACCCCAGTAGACATTATGTCTTCTTCTGTCCACTGTTTTGCTCTGGTACCTATCACAGTTTTTGTCACAATATATGTACTCACATCAGATTTATTGAATTAAATGGATGACATAGTGACCCAAGATATTTAGGATTAGGAGAAACAAAGGCTAACATTACAGCTTTCTTCTTTTAAAAATTTAGGTATTTTTACATATGATTTTCTTTAGACAAAATTTTGTTTGAAGGGGAAGAAAACATGAGTTCCAGGGTAAACAGTTGTGGACAGTTTGCTATGTGCTTTGCCCTCTCTGCTCCAGACTTTCTGTAGGTTTTGAAGAGGGCCAGGGACTAGGACTAGTGACTTTGTTTAATAGCCAATGAGTATTACATTGATATGAATGAGAAGTTGAACAATAGAGGAACTTGAGGTAGTTTGCCCAAGGTCACACAACCAGCAACAAATATGGCCCAGACACAGACCCGAGTAATCTTACTGGACAGCCAGGGAGTCCTAGCTCTGATAAACTGAACTTCAGTCACTGAGAACAGCGGTGTATTCCAGACATACTGTGTTTGTTGGGCTCTTAGTAAAGGGGAGCTAGTTTAGTTTCATGTACTATATTTTACATAGAGTAGAATGAATATTATTATACTTTGTAAAGCATCTGGTGTGTGCTAACCATCAGTTTGGGTTCCCTACCTGTATTAACTTATCTAAATCTCAAGAAAAATGTATGAAATAATAAATAATATTTAGGATTATTCCCATGATCTATGACGAGTTTCTCAAGATGAGTAAATGGTAGAGCTGACGTCAGGCCACTCTTTTAACCAATGTACTATAATGAGATTCATAACATAGCTTATCAATATGCTTGATATCTAGTCTGTGTTTTTTTCTTTATGGAATCCAGGTTGATTTTGATAATTTATATTTTTCTTAAATTCTCCTTGATAGAGGGTCGACTAGAGGTGTCCCAAGGAGAGAAATTGTTATCATCAATCCCAATGTGGACCACATTTGGGGAACTAGCTATTCTCTACAACTGTACAAGGACTGCCTCTGTGAAAGGTAACAGAAGATAAACTGTTCTGAAGGGCTGCACAGTGCTGACCGTCATCTCATTAAACCACACTTGCACCCTGGCCTGGGCTTTTTTTCTCTCATTTTACCCAAGATGCTCTTGTTACTAGATATACTCTAGCTATAAGAAGATTTAGATGGCAGTACTTAGCTAAATAATGCAAGTTATACAGAATCTTTCTCAGGCAAAGAGGGAATGGTTCAATAGGTAAAGTGTGCTTGTCTTACAAACAGGAAGACCCAGAACCCATGCAAAATGCTGGGTGGTAAGGGAGTAGCATGCACTTGTAACCCCAGAGATATAGATTCCTGGGCTCACCAGCCAGCTGGTCTATCCAAATTGGTGAGCTCCAGAATAGGGACCCTGTCTCAAAGGAGGTGAATGGCATTCCCAAGGAAGACATCTGAGGTTGCCCTCTGGCCTCTGCAAGCACATGTACACATGTTCACCTGCACACATATACATGTACTCCATGAACAAACACAAGCACCTGCCCATACCCATGTGTACCAACATGAACATGCACACACCCCCACAGGAAAACCAAAGAGAATTTTCCTCTCAGATACCTGTATATGAGATATGAAAGTAGCATGAAGCAGGATGATTTCAATACTCTGAATTGCTGCTTCCCTTTTTATGAAATAGATATTTGCCTTTGGCTCATTTAGAATGTTTGCTTTCTAGTTTTCTCAAGGATCTGACTGTATTGTAAACTAGAAACATCAATGAAACAAATGAAAATTTATAAATATCAAAAGGGATATGTGTTAAAGAAATGTTCTTTTGAATGGCTTTTATAATTAGTTTGTTTCTTTAAAATATTGCCACCTTTTAAAAATAATAATCCTGGATTTTCTTTAGAACTGTTAGATGTGTCATTTCTTGGGGTTGGAGATGGGGTTACATTTATATTACTTCAGCTGAGTGAACTGAGACACTGACTGAAAATGCAGATTGCGGGTTTCTGTTCCAAGCCTGAAGAATACTCTTTGCCTGGGCACAGAGGTCAGGGGAATACATATTTTAAAAAACAAGACTATTAATTAATAATTACTAAGAGTTTTGTAAGGTAGAGTTTTTTTGTCTGTTACTTTTATTGTTTTGCTTTGTAAGTCTTATAACCATAATTTCCTCTAGACTTTATAGAGCGACTGCTTTTGCTCCTTGTCCATTTTGAATATTGTATTTTCCTTTAATGACTTTCTTATAAAAATCTTTTGTTCACAAAATTTTCTTGTTACATTTTTTAAAATGATTTGTATGCATTTTCTAAAAAAGTAACAGTAAAAAGCCTTAGAATGTACTCTAACCAGCAAAAAAAAAAAAAGACACATAAGCACATACATGTGCTCAAGAGACCTTGGATTTTGAATTACTTGCTCGTGAATTTATGGTCTGGATTAGCTGTAGGCTGGCTGGCATCAATCTGGAATGCACCCTGTGGATGTAGTACATAATGGAAAATTGCAAATTCATTTGAATATCATCCTACCCAATACATAATTAGAAAAGAAATATTCTGCCACTCATTCCCAATACCTGGCACATTTCAAGCTGAAGTAATATAAATATCTCTTGTTTCATTATTTATCTCCATATGCATATTTAAATAATGCATTCCTAATAAATGCATTTTCATTGATTAACAATTTGGAATCTTTTCTTCATCTGGTGCTAAGCACTGTTGTATTATTTTCCTGAATCTTTTCAAGCTATTACCAATGTTAAAACTTGGGCACTGGATCGAGAAGTTTTTCAGAATATTATGAGGAGGACAGCCCAAGCAAGAGATGAACAGTACAGAAGCTTCCTCAGAAGGTAAGAGGAGCAAGGTGGGGCCATCTGTGGCTATGTTGGCTTTGTCAGAGTAATGGGTCACTGTAGTTCCTGCCATTTAAGCAGTTTCCATATTATTAAAAAGAGCCAAAGTATTCTCTTGTAGTAAATACCAGCATATATCAAGAATTATAATGAATTCCTACTAGCTTCTGTGCTGAATTATTTTTCTTGTTATTCTTTTTAGTCTTGTCCTGAAGGAGCCATAATCTGTGGTATAGAAAAATGCAAAAACACCTAAAAAATTTACCTGGGCTGCTCACTTGGCTTTGAAAAGCTTTTGTGACTTGATGGAGTTATTAAATGTTAACTCTTCCAATAATACTTAGCTTAGAATCATATTACTTTTTATTCTTGTTACATTTTATTTTGTGTGTGTGTGTATGTGTACGCATGAATGTACCATGGCATGAATGTGGAGGTCGGAGGACAACCTGCAGGAGTTGGTTCTCTCCTTCTATCACAAGGGTCCAGGGAATGGACCTCAGGTCATTAGATTTGGCTTCAAACATCTTCACCCACTCATCTCACTGGCCTTACTTGGAATAATATTAATATTAACTTCTTTTATTCTCCTTGCTTTACAGGAGACATTTCTTTTCTACTTTGCATAGCTACACTCTCTTCATAAGTTGCCATTATTTGTAGCAGCTTAACTTGACAGAAATGTTACTATCCTTGTCATGATAACACAGATCCTTGGAACATGCTCATTTTGCAAAATGTTCTGCATCTCAACATGAGTGAATCAATTTATAGGGAAACAAATGTCTGTTTAATTTTAAAAGCTAGCTCAAAATTAAAATAATCTCTTTAGAGAGTGTGAGTTCCTCACATATAGTAGTTTTGCCTCATTTGTGAGTACTTTGATAGTCTCTGAATTTGGAATATGTAATGTAATGAATAGTCACTTGTGATAAGTGGTGATAGTAATTATAAATCATGAGAGTTCTAAAAGAAAATTTCAAGTTCTTTTTAAAAAATATTTTATTTATTATTTTTATTTTATGTGTATTAGTGTATTTCCTGCATGTATGTAAGTGCACCCATGTCATAAAAAGCCTACAGAGGTCAGAAGAGGGAATCGGGTCCCCTGGAACAGGAATTACAGATGGTTGTTAGCTGCCATTTGAGTGCTAGACACTCAACCCCTGGGAGTCTTCTGCAAGAGTCGCCAGTGCTCTTAACCACTGAGCCATCCCTTTAGCCCCTCAAGTTCTTAGGTACAGTCTGGTGATTTTTACCTTCCATAGTAAACCCATGAAGCCAATTACATTAGGATTGTACAGTGTCTTAGCTTATAGTGAGGGCTCATCAAATATTGAAGGAATGATGCAGACATTGCAAGCATAAAGGTTCTTGTACAGAATTTCCTGATATGATCTCCTAGAGACAATAATGACTCCTGGCAGAGAGTTGCAGTAATGGCATACAGGTGTCTTATCTGTAGGCCAGCCAGTGCCTTAGCTATCACGTTGTGGGATCTATTTAAATATATGTTATCTCGAAATCCTGCAACTGAATGTCACAGGTCAGCATTTAAAACAAATAAACCACGCTTACACAAGGGTTACAAAGGGATATACAAATAAACCTGTGCCCAGGGGTTGTGGTTGACTGAGATAAAACCTGAATCACTATTCATAACAATAACTCCCTTGAAGCCTAGTGTGCTTTCAGTTGAAGGAGCTCAGATTTACTATCACATATTCCTTCTTTTCTTTTGGTATTTAATTCATTCATTCAACAAATATTTGTTGCTGGGCACTAAACATTGTAGATTCAATGGTGCACAAGATAAACCTGACCCCTGTCCTCATAAAGGGGAAATAGACTAAGATTTCTTCTCATGTACTTACCCACCCGTTCCAAATATGACAAGCTTACTATTCATAGATCCCAGTTTAGACCATAAGGAAAAATTTTATAAGTATGTGGAAATTGAGTTCTGGTCGCCCCTTTACCATTCCAATAGGGAAGATAATTTAGAGAGATGCAAGTTTTCTTTGTTATGTTGTAAGCTCTTTTTTTTTTTAGCTCCAGTTTTATATATAGCATGTGGTATATAAGATTTGTAGTACATGTGTAACTCACGAAAACCCAATAACATTAACAATCCCATTACTAGGAATATATCCAAAGAAAAGAGATCAGCATATTGGAAGAGAATTCTGCACTTCCATGTTCTTTGCAGAATCCTTCAAATAGCCAGGAAATGGATACAATCTAAGTGACCACCAACACATGAGTGGCTAAGGAAAGTATACATGATGAGATGGAATAATAGCTAGACATAAAAAGATGGAATTCTGTCATATTGAATGACCTGGCTGAAAGTGGAGACTGTTAAACCTGGGTCTTGAAAGGCAAATGCATATGTAAAATCTAAGAAAGTTCATCACGTACGAGTTAGGAGTAGAACGGTGGTTACCAGAGGCTGGAAATAGCCAGAGGAAAGAGGGGCGGGAAGATGTTGATCAATGGGTTCTTGGGAAGGGGTAGGTAGGTGTAAGAAGTTCTGGTGTGAAACTGCACTTTAGAGTGACCGTACATAATGACAATGCAGTGTATGTTTCAAAAGACTGGAAGGAAGAATTCTGAGTGTTTTTACCACAAGACAGCGATAACTGTTTGGAGAGTTGCATGCTTACCCTCATTTAAACATTGTAAATACATGTATGGAAACATCACAAGTACCCCGTAAATATGTATAGATTTAATTGACATATGTATCAGTTAAAATAAATTTAAATTAACAAACCATAAGAAAACAAGTATCTATGAAGTTAGTCTGGGTGTGATCAAAGTGTTTACGAACTGATATGTCACTCCCAGCCTGTCTCCCTCTCTTTGGGAAGAAATTGCATTTGGAAGTTTAGTGATTAGTACCTTGGTATTCTTTACAATTTTGCCTATGGCTTGATGTGAACGCTTTTGAGCTTTATAAGAATGGCATTATTTTTGCAATTCATTTTTTTACTCAGTAATTTTCCCAAGGTCCACTTCTAGAGTTCCTTCCCTATCACTGTGCATTTATCTCTTCGCCCACTGGGGCTCATCCTGGTGCTTGCAATTACAGAGCTCTGGTGCAGACATTCTTACACAGGGCTCCTGGCCTTCTGCCATGTGCTACACGTGTGTGGGAACCAGCCCCGAACCCTCAGCATTCACAAAACCAGATCTACTCATGCATTTCAGGAGTGGCAGTGTTTTTCTGTGAGTCAAGTTGTAGGTGCTATAAGATAAATATTTCTCTTGTAGAAATTATATCAACCATCTCAAATAATAATGTGTAAAGTAGAAGAGAAATTACTTTAATAAAACAATTTAATTATATTGACTAATCATAGTGAGGGAAATTTCTGACTTTCTAAAATGATAGGTTTCTGTGTTCTGTTTCACTTTCTTCATTTTAATATCTGTAAATATGTCCCTATTACCTGCCCCTGGCTACCGTTGATTTAAAAAGACAGTAGAATAAAACTAATAATTCAAGATCACCTCACTGGTAATTCCTGTGCTTCAATAGATTCCGTCTCTATTTAATTGCAAGGATTCAGATAGACATCTGACCCTCTTCTGTAAGCAGAACTCCTTACTGTGAGCCTCACCCAGGCCACAACAAGAGACATTGAGACATGGAAAGAAATACTTTTCCAGATATGATTCACTTTGCAGACCAACAAGAGTGTGAAATGGATTTCTTTTCAAACAGAATGAGATTTATTCGCTTTATAATCTTAGAATCATCATTTATGAATATACAATAAATGTCTAGACAAATCTATATGAGCAATTTCCAGTGGGTATGAAATTCATTTTTTAATGTGTTTTCAGTTACTTGATGGTTTACTTTGGAAAAATTAAAGTGCATTCTAACTATAAGTGAATATAAGAATTTTATAATCTATGTAAAACATATATGTATGTTTATTCAAGAAGATAATTAAGGAAAAACTGGGCATGGTGTCTCATGCTTGTAATTCCAATGCTTGGGAGATTGAGGCATGAGGATCTTGAGTTCAAAGACAGCCTGGACTACAAGCTGAGATCCTGTCTGAAAGAATTTTTTTTTTATTTAAAGAAGGATAATTAATTAAAGATTTCTTTTTTTTTTTATTTTGAAGTGTGTCTTTGCTGAAGAACTTACCTGAAGATAAACTAACCAAGATCATTGACTGCTTGGAAGTGGTAAGAAAGTTTAAAGCAAAAACTAAAAGTTATTAGAAGATTCTAGACTCTAATAATCTTATTAGCACTGTAAATGAATAAAGAGAAAAGATAGTAAATCACCAATCTGCAGAGACCAGGAGCCGTTAATGTATTGTGCAGAATCTTTTGCCAACTCGCACTAAATTAGGGACTGGCAAAGGTTAGATTCTCATGGTACTTACAAAATGAAATTGGATTTGCATGTGTAAAGTGAAATTTGATTTACATATCTTAATCTTTTTGCTATATTTTATAAAACTAATCTGCCCTACTCAAGAGGCATTTGATTTTCTCCAATTAGCATCACAATCCCTTGCAGAGTTTTCATAATACAAAGGAGTCAGTGAGGCATAATTAGGAAAGGGGCACAGAAAGGGCATGCTGGTGCTGGGGGCCAGGAGCCGCAGAAGCAGGCCAAGCAGCACCCGGCTCTTCAGCACTCCCCGCTATGGAAGCACATTTGAAGAAAATGTACTCAAGAAGCACTTCACCTATTTTAATATCTAGAGGGAAATGGCATATTGGAAAGTCTTCAGAAACTCATTTTTGGCATCACCCAGATGGTTGGTTTGAGTCCAAGATTCATCGTCTTTTTGTGAATAATGCCTTTATAACATGTACCTTGGTATTTAATGATATGCAGTTTATGAAAACCTCTTCAGATTTCAGAGATTAAAATCCAAAGCAAATAGCCTCTCTCACTTTCTTGGGGGTCCGTTTCATGGAAACCAAATGGCTTTTCTGAAACTGAGAAGACACAGGGAGTGAGAGGAATATCATAGCTAGGCTTGAAGCCTTTACAGAGTTGCTCTCAGTGGGAGCAAAATAAAAGCCCTGCCTGCCTGCTTGTTGACAGATTCATGTTTCTGTCAATCACAATATACAATGTAAACTCATATCTGTTGAGAAGAGAGCAGGGGCTGTTCTATCCTAAACATTAGTGACACCAGTAATGTTTCCATTTGCAGTCATGGAAGCCATCCAGCCATTTATCAAGGACAGGTTGTGGTGACACAGTGCCTCCCCTTCGATCCTCAGAGACTTCAGAAGTAAAGTCAGCTTCAACAAGCCTGCTTGCCCTGAACCCCTTTGGGGTTTTCCCAATGTAACACAAACCAATCACAGATGTTACAAATTAATAATTCATCCCAATTTCTTTGGGTGTTTTCCCTTTAAAGCGAAAGCAGCCCTATATATTTTTTTGTTAACCAAAGAAATCTGTTTTTAATATACTACTAATAGAGTGGACTCACCAGAGGGGAATTCCATGCTGACAGCAAATATGAGAATTTAGTGTCATTAAACAAAAATGGTAAATTAGACATATTTATAGCAGAAATGGGCAATCACCATAGAATATATCGATGGGGCTCAAATCTAGTATTAATTAGCACACAATTCAAGTTTGAAAGTCTCCTCTTTTAAAACACCCTAAGAAAGTTTGCTTGTATCTCAGCATCTGCAAACAGCAGCTGTTTCTAAAAGACTCTTCATTCTTACCTGCCAAACAAATGTGTCTCTGTAATGTGTGAAAATAGATGTGGAAGTGATTAACAAGGGAGTAATGGAATGTGTTCAGTTCAAAAAAAGTGCATAATTTACAAGCATAGCTTGGACTTCTGGTCCATCAGCATGGTCCTCACTACAGTCAGACTCCAGTGCATGACATTAGGACAGAACTCTCAGAACAACTGTCCCACAACCTAGCTCCATAATCTTTGAGAAAATGGTGTCTGGAAGGCTGCTTAGAAATTAATAGGGAAGGCTTTATTCTTGTGTGCAGAGCAAGGGGATAGGTGGAGAAAAGGGACCTGAGGTTTGTGTCACTAAGCACTTGACCTGATGTGTTAAGATACAGAGCACTGAACTTCTAGACCAAACAGTACAGTTCTCCTTCAGCTTACTTGAACTCAAGTCTCCTAGAACATCGAGTTCTGGAGGAAGCCATCACCTCAAAGCCTCAGCTCACATGCTCTCACTGCTGTGTGTTAAGAGTTAGCTAGTTTCTCTCTCTCTCTCTCTCTCCTCTCTCTCTCTCTCTCTCTCCTCCCTCCCTCCCTCCCTCTCTAGTTCATGTGAGTTTGTGCTCATGTGTGTGCAGGTATGCAAGCATGTGGAGGCCAGAAGTTGATGTCAGGCATCTTCCTTCATCAATCTTCCCCTTATTTTTTGAAATTTGAACCTGGAACTCATTGATTCAGACCAGCTGGCCAGTGAGCTCCAAGATCCTCTTGTCTCTGCGTCCCACAGCATAGGGTTACAGACAGACGCCACTATGCTTGGCATTTATGTGCGTGCTAAGAATCCCAACCAGTTTCCTCAGACTTGCATGGCAGGCACTTTACTGACTGAACCATCCCTGCTGTCTTTAGGTTTCCTTTCTTTCTTTAAAAAAAGATTTGACTTTATTTTAAATTACATGTATTCATGTGTATCTGTGTGTATGTATGTGCATAGGAGCACAAGTGCCCACAGGGACTCAAGGCTTCAGATCCCTTGGATATGGAGCTCCATGCCCAATGTAGGTGCTGAAACCCAAACTCAGGTCCTTTGAAAGAAGGGTATGAGCTCCTCACCACTCAGCTTTCTCTCTGACCTCTTTCTTGAAGTCCCCACTAAGAGTCACATGAGCCACAGCATTTTTCTCATTTAATGGTTACAGCCAGAGACAGGAGAAAACTGGATAACTGTGCACTTTGCCACAGTTTACAGATCAATGAGTTATGGGTGGGGAAGCCTGGATGTGTAGACAGTTTACTAGTCCAAAATCTAGAGCTAGGAGTTGTGGTCCTTCCTCTGTCACTGCCCTGTCAGTTGTGGTAACCATTAGTGTCTCCCCATCTACAAAACAAGACCCAGGGTTCTGGGCCACATCGACACAGGCTCTTTCACTGTTTGAACTACAGCATTCTCCGAAAAGGCTTGCCCACACAGGATTATTTCCTCTTGGTTTTCATTTTATATACTCTGCTTCCTTGGAAATAAATAACAAGTCAGCTACTAAACTAACCTGTTCTAGGTGACTTTGCTTTAAAATGTCCAACATGTCTTAGTCATTATACATAGAAACAATAACCAGTAATAACACCAGGGAGTCTGAATAGGTGTGTGTGTGTGTGTGTGTGTGTGTGTGTGTGCATGCACATTCATGTGCATGTGAGTGAACATGTGTGTGCTGATACAGGCTCATGTGAATATGTGTGTGCATGTGTATGGAGGCCACAGGGACAACCTTGGGTGTCTTTCCTCAGGTGCCATCCACTTCTTCTTTTGAACGGGGCCTCTCATTGGTCTGGGATCACTGATTAGACTAAGCTGACTGCCCAGAGAATCCCAGATATCCACCTGTCTCCACCTCCCCAGTGCTGCAATAAGAGCCAAGTGCCACCACACCTGGATTTCGTAGACCTTGATTCTGGGGATCAAACTCAGGGCCTCATATTTACAAGGCAATAACTTTACTAGCTGAACTATCTCCTCAGGTCTGTGAACAATTTTTAAACAAGAGTGGGTAGAGATGTATGTGTGTATGTATATATGTGTATGAATGTGTGCGTGTGTGCATGTGTGCATGTATGTGTGTGTGTGTGTGTGTGTGTGTGTGTGTGTGACTCCCACCAACACTACAATGGAGATTTGTAGCACAAAGTCAAACCAGATTGTAAGGAAGTCTTGGTTTGCCTTTGGTTTTCCTCCATTACTTCAGACTTTCTTTTTTGTTTGGAATATTCTTTTTATAGAGTTCCCTTTCTGGCCTTTTGCTAGATAAGCACAAATTGCACATTTTCCTGGTAGTGAAAGGTAAAATGTTTAGGGGTTGCTGTCTATTTGTATTGTTTTCTTCTCATTTCTACTCTTTAGTCTGCCCTGAAATTGATTTATCTATTTTCATGTTTTGGACCTATGCCGACTCTCTCTCTCCAGACTACTAGGCATCATCTTTTAAAACATTCCTTTCAGGCCGTGGGTCACAAATCATTACTAGCTCATGAAGGCAATATAGTGGAACAATTTTAAGAAATCAATTTAGTGAAAATAGACATTGTTTCAAAAATTTTTTTGTTTTATATAAAAGTCAATGCTTGTGGGCTCATATGGAACATTGGGTATACATGTAAGGTTTATTTATTACTGTAGGTCAGAAGAAAAATGCTAGAAAACCATCACTCTACAGGATGGAGTTGATGGCTTCTTGGTCTTCGAAGGGACCCCTTTGCAGTGTGACCACAGGGCGATCACCACAGTGTTTGCACTTCTCTTTTGGTCCTGGTGCTGCCTGGTCTGGCTGGCTGCACTGCCCAGCTACAAACACTGGGCAGTCTAGCATCACAGCCAGTACTCACCACTATATATTTTTGGTCTGACCTAGTTCCACAGCCTTTTCTGATCTATGAAGTTACTGTCTACACACTGGGAGGTATTATTTGCCTTCCTCCCGTGGTTTTGGGTGACAAAGAATCATCCCTGTGATGGTTCCATTCAGAAGGTTGTCCCTGAAAACAATAAGGCTCTTTCTCAATGTCCCCTTTCAGGCTTGTCCTGTTTGAACTTATCTGGTTACAGAAATGAAAGGCACGCCTCTGCACACATGAGAGGTCTTATAATAATTGAGGAATAGCTTCATAGCTCTTCAGAGATTTCCCATGTCACTGCTGCTTCATGTGGGAAATGGAGGCTGAGACTGGGGTGCAGACGCTGAAGAGCGGCTCTTCAGAAGTGGAATATCCAGCAGGGTCTGCAGCTTTAGTGAAGAGATTGGCTCTTTAGTTAGTTACAGAACAAAGACACCTGAGCTGTAGGGTTGTGGTCTACAGAAGGGTCACGGTCATGACACTATAACATTGAGTTTCTTTGTAGCGAAGGCTTATGATGAATCTAAGATGAGAAAGAATGAAGAGCTGATGTAAACAAACTGCTGCAGAGGCCTCACTGCTTGTGTAAAACAGGCTTTGGGTCTTGTTCACATTCCACTCCAGGGAGCACGCTTGCCATTGGATCCATCCACAGTCACTCAGGAACCTAAGCTGATGGCTATTTTGCCATTTTCATTTAGTAAGTGGTTTTATGCTTTTCCCCCATGTTATTGGGGGGCCATGCCATTAACCCTGGAGAAGCGCATAAGGGTACATGCACGAAACAGTTCCTGGACCTGGCTTGGAAGTAGGACATGTTGCCTTTGTCTGATTCTTTTAGACAAAAATTAATTATACACCTAAAGTTAAAGCAGGGGTGTCACTGCCTTAGGTAGCTGTGTATGCCTGTGGAAGACTCTGAGGGCCCACAGTTGTCCTCCTGCATAACACAACAATTTTTTTTTCGGTCTTTTTGAGACAATGTCTCCCTGTAGCTTCAGCTGGCCTGGAACACACTCTGTAGGCCAGGCTGGCCTCGAACTCACAGAGATCTGCCTGCCTCTGCCTCCAGAGTGCTGGGATTAAAGGTGTGTGCGACATCAATACAATAATACAACAATTATTAAGTAAACCTTTACTATGTGTGCTCCGTTCTCAGTGCCTCAGAAAACACTGTCTTTAGTTGGCTTTTGGAGACATGAGGAATGCCCTTGCCCTAATCCCTGCTTGGATGTATGTAATTGTTAAAAGCCCTTCAAAGGAGAGAATTGTTCTATGTGGAGTCAGAAGTAGAAGCCATAGAGACTCAAAATTCTACATGTTGTGGCTGGTTCTGAAGGGGAACTTCAGGAGGCAGAGCCCTGGGAGAGCTAAGGGCAGTCCCCACTGATGACCAGGGAGGAAATGGGATTTCACCGCTCAGATGAGTTCAGTCAGGCCCCTGAATGATGCTGAGGCAGATTTGCCCCATCCTGAGCATTCAGAATGGAATACAGCTCCTACACTATGCCTATGCCTATTCAACTTCAATCCTGAAAAGCCTTAAACAAAGAAACCTAGTTGAGCCATTCTGTGCTTGGACTTTCTGAGCCAGAAAAACAGTCAACCTAATAAAAGGATGTTGCTCTGAGCCACTAAATTTATGATTATTTTAGCAGCTACAGAAAACTAATGCACTTCTCTAAGTCTTTGAAGGTAACTGTTTTTAGTTTATGCATTAGTGAAAGTTCATTTCAATTTGAATCTGCCTCTTTTGGATTCAGTGTTTCCCCCTTCCTAAGGGATCAGGCTGCTTTAAGAGATGTTGGGATGTCTCTTAATGAGTACATGGTGCTATACAAATAAAACGTATGTTCATTGATATTAGAATATGCAATCCATATATATTTATTCCATTACACTCTGATGGTTTCACCCAAATGGTCAGGAAGGTATTGAGAAGCAGATGCACTTACGTAGGTTAGTTTGGAATTTATTTTCAGGTTTAAAAGAAAAACAAATGAGAGCTATTATGTTGTTAATTGTGGCTTTTTAAAAAATTAAACAAGCCCATTTTATTTGTATAAATAATTAAGAAACCCTTTTTATTTCTTTGACTTGAGACAAGATGAAATTAAAGCAATATAGAGGCAGACAGTATAATCTATCTGTGTTTTCTAAGATACTAGATTGCTCTTTTGGTCTGACAGATGGATAAATGACTTTTCCCTGCCCGAGAATTCTCTACCTGCACATCATATATGAAGGAAAGAAATGTTAATACAAAAAATGAAATGTGATCATTTGAAATTTCATGAGGATAAATGACACTAAAACCAGAATTTGCACGTTAAGGTTTTAATGTCAGATTCTATGTGGTGGTGCAGGCCTTTAATCTCATCACTTGGGAGGCAGAGGCAGGCTGATCTCTGTGAGTTCGAAGCCTGGTCTACATAGCGAGTTCCAGGTCACCTGGGGCTACATACAGGGAGACCCTGTCTCAAAAAAAGACACACACACACGCACACACACACACACATACACACACACACACACACACACACACACACACACACGAGACTAATGGCTTTGTCATCTTCCTTGAAGATGGGTCTCTAGAAATAGCACATATGAGGAATTGCCTGGGGTGTATGCAGACTCTTCTCTTTCCAGAAGTTGTTGCTTTTCTGAGAGTCAGAAATCAAGGCTAGTATTCCTGATATCCATTGAGACTATTTTAAAAGTATCATGTAATCATTTGCTCTTTTCCAAAGCTTGGACCCAATCTTTGCTGTTACTGGACACCAAGCTATTAGTTTTAGGTAATGGAGGTGAAGACACAGTGTGTCCCCCTGCTACTGTCCTTCTCTGTTCTCCTATGTCATCCTTCTCCATAGCTAGAATTCAGTTTTACAAGTGAAGTTTCTCATCAACAAGCAAAAACAAACACACATCCCAAAACCGAAGTGTGGATAAATAAAGTCCCTTACTTTTACTACAGTGTATAATTGCTGGTAAGAAAAGCTTACAGTTAGTTATAGTAATTCAAAAACAAAATAAACAGATAATCCATACTCATTTAAAAATTTGGGAAGTCCTTTTTCTTCAATGTCATCAGCTATTTCTTTTCACTGATCTAACATTTTCTTTTCCTCTCACCCCACAGGAATACTATGACAAAGGAGATTACATCATTAGAGAAGGAGAAGAAGGGAGTACCTTTTTCATTTTGGCAAAAGGAAAGGTAAATAGTAAAGCTTAAAGTAAATTGTAAATGCTTTTGTTTCAGTTGGTTTGTCTTAAATGTAACAATGTCATGCATTACAATGGAAGAAGTCCTGTGATTGGATGGATGAGGAAGCAAGAGTCTCTGGAGTTCCCTAAGAGCTCTAGGTTTGGAGATGGGACCACAGAATGCTTGTGATAGATTGCAGCTGATTGAACTTTTCAGTGACAGGCTACTAGATTTTCTGTGGACACCTCAATGTGCATAAAGTCTATAATGGCTGGAGTATATCTATAAATCCTTTTTTAGCAATGGGAATGTGATTCTCAATCAGTCCAGTGGTGCAAGAAAAGAGCTGGAGCAGATATAATAAGCAACAGGTGAAGGAGAATGAACTCAGTAAGGATGGCAGTGGCCATGAATCACAGCATGGCTCAGAACATATATAATGGCTAACAGTTCAAGCCACGTAGACATTGACACAAATCACACACACACACACACACACACACACACACACACACACACACACACAGTTTTACCTGTCTCCTAAGTTAGTTTTTCCTATGTTGACTATTAATATCTTCAGAGACAAAAAGTACTTGCGAAGTTCTCAAGGAAGGAGCCAACTCGGGTTCCTTGGTCATTATGCCCTTGGATTCTCATAGCTGGTCTCCATGCTTTGAAAGACTTCTGGCTAATAAAGGATTAGCATTTTTTATCATCATTAACAATACTGATTCATTGTGACATACATAAATGTCAATCAGAAATGCTAATCACTGGGAAATAACACTACCATGTTGAGTTGGAATAGTTCTAGCCCCAATTAGGGACTATGGTAAGTCTGAGTGTCTGTCCTGCAGGGTCCGTGCACCTCCCTGGGCTTTGTTTCACTCTGAGGTGGCCACAGATTTATGGAGTTTGTGGACCCTTTTCCTACTCCTCAGTTTTCATTGTTTTGAGGGTTCCTATGATATGGCCAACCTATGAAGAGACTAAGAACTGCTACTTGACCTTATTCTTGATTAACTGGTCAACTCTTTTAGACTTTTGAATTAACAGAAGTCTCCACAGAACCACTATTGTTTTTTTAAAGAATTTCTAGTGACTTGGATTCATTGTTTAAAAAATGAATTTTGGGAGGTGCTTTGAGTGGACAGTTTTCCTGCTACAGACAGGAGTCATTTGATTGTGTAAATTACTAGTTTACTCACATCAGTCACAATGCATAGAGTGTAGTGAATTGTCCTAGCTACTGTGAATGAAGCAGTTTCATCTTTTCCCTCCTTCAAAACTGATATTGTTCTGCAGTTTGCTTGGTGGGATTTGTTCAGATCCTTCCTTCACTGTGATCTCTTTTGAATTGTTTCACTGTTTAGGTGAAAGTTACGCAGAGCACAGAAGGCCACGATCAGCCACAGCTGATCAAAACACTGCAGAAAGGAGAGTATTTTGGAGAAAAAGCTCTGATCAGGTGAACCCATGAGTTTATGCATCATCCTTAAATAAAAGTCTTGGACTGTTTTGCATGTGAAATTACACATTTAGAGCTCTCAAACTAAGCTACCCAATTAATGACTACAAATAACCAGAAACTGAACAAAAATTTAAAACTGACTTTTTGGGTAAACTTTATTGAATTTCTGTGTATTTCATAAGAACACCTTAATTATCTTTATACCCCCTTCCCCACTGGTACCTTACCATAACGCCCCCAACACTGGAATTCCTACATCTGTCATTTGTGTTAAGACCTATCATGTGAAGTTAGTGTCTTTTAAAGACTGTCAGTGTTTTACAGGAAGAAAGTACACTAATGCTGTACAGGAAATAAATGGAAAGTCTTATGTTTGTTAGTGAAAACAAGAGTAGTGCTAGATTAGAACTTTTGATCTGAAGAAATATCAACAAACAAATTTAAAAGGAGGAAATTGTTACATTAACATTAGAACAAGTTTTTTTTATTGTTGTGGTTTGCAATATTGCCATATTCAAAGGTTCTCCTTTTGAGTTAAAAAGTGAAAACATGGCCAGCAAGATGGGTCAGTAGGTGAAGACACTTGCCATCAAGCCGGATGACCTGAGTTTGATCCCCAGGATCACATAATGGGGAGTTTGATCCCCAGGATCAACACGTGTGCCATGGTGTACAATCTCTCTCTCTCTCTCTCTCTCTCTCTCTCTCTCTCTCTCTCTCCCTCCTCTCTTTCCTCTATCTCTATATCTTTGTCTCTATCTATCTCTATCTCTGTATCTTTTCTCTCTCTCAAACACACAAACTAAATAAGTAAATGTAATAAAAAAGTAAAAAAACCCAAAACTACGGATGCTTTTCAAACAGCATGTCAAAAGTACTGTACTTTTAGGAATTTTGTGAGCTCAATTTGCAGTTTTAAGAAACAACTCAAAATAGTGCATTGGAATTTTCTATGCGAACCTTCAGAGTATAGAGGTATGAACTTATTTACTTAGTTATGGACAAAAATGTTTTTAATGACTGATGAAGTGGCTCAAGAGACCCTTTATACTTCCTGAAACTCAAAAAAACCCCAACTTCATTCCAAAGAAATATTTTCCTATATAGAAATAACTTTATAAAATATTGAGATGAAGTTTGAATCAAGACACATTTTGGGAGCTAACATATCTTTTTAAGTGAATAACTTGGAGTTGCTTAAGAAGTGACTTGAAATTGATGTTACAACTAAATGGTTTAATTTCAGGTTTATGCTTAAAGAGAAAGAACAGTGTTTCTGCTCATTTATCTTGTTTGTAACTTTTGTCTAAGAAGCTTCAGTTCTGCTGATTTATATATAAGGTTTGCATAATTACAGAGCAAAAAATGTATTCAGAAATTACCTGAAGATACATTTGATTATTTAAAAGTCATATACCTCTTATTTTTCAAAGAAAGCTCAAGTACTAAAATTCAATAAATTAGGTTTTTAGCTATAATGTAAGCAATTTTAAAGTAGAATTTAAGGACAAGTTGCATTTTTTCCCCCGTTTTCTAGCTGGTAATGAACTTGCTTTGATAATAAGGAAATTATCTCTTTTTTTCATTGTCATATTGTGATATCATTATCTAAGACTTCCATGTATTTGTTCTTAACATTTGCAGGTTATTTTTCTCTTACCCTTCAGCAGAACTAAACCTCGAAGATTCACAGGACCTTATAAATGCAGTATAGATGTTACATAACTCTTGAAAGCAAGTGTGTTATCTGGTTTTGCTGGACCTAAAATAATTTATGCTGTGTGTTGTAGCTAAACAATTTTAATTATTTCCCTATCTATGTGAAATGTGCGGATTTATGTTTAACATAGACAGCCAACTCCCCAAAGCATTTGAAAACATAAAACTAAAATGAATGGGAAGAAAATTTGGAGACAAGTGCTTTTACATTTTTCTACATTTTTATGTTATCATATTTAGTGCCACTAACTGTAACTCTATATTCCTTCTATTTTATACATTTCTATGACTTGACACCAAATAGTCTCAGGGGTCCTTTTAGAATTTTATTTGCAAAAATAAATCTATGACATTTATATACAATTACTTTAAAGGAAATGTAAATACACATATGAAATTATAGTAGGTATAGAGAATAGCAGAGTAAAAGTCAAGAGACTGACATGTAACTTTACCTTAGCTATGGCCTTGCTCTCTCACAACTCACAAAACAAATAGTTGGTCCACAGTTCATGTCTGTGTCTGGGTCTACCTACCTGCTTCTGTTTCTCACAGTTTACCTCTACCTCCACCTCCACTTCTGTCTTTATCACTATCTTAAATTGCATGTGTAAATTGAACCAAAACTGTCCTGCTTCTGATTTAAAAGGCCTGCAGCAAAAGTATTTTCACTGGTAACTTTTGGAAGAGTCCTATAAACCAAGGACAGACTGTAAGCTATATGAATAAGTGTCTGGATACCAGCTAGAAGAACAGGAGACTTATCGGGATCGGAGGAGATGGGATTCCCGTGTTCTCTTTTCACTACTAAGGAAAAATGAGGGGCTCGGCATGACTGCTGTTTTGTGAAGTTGCCTGGAGCTATCCCTGTGATAAGTACTCCACATTTTGTGGGTACTTATGGGTCACTCTAAATGAATCTCTGAGTATTGAGTGCCATATGTATATACCTTTATTTAGTGTCTGATTTATAACTAATAATGTTAGAAAACTCATATGTAAGTTAAGTCCTTTAAAAAAGTACTTTACCTGATGCTTGACCCCTTGATACTCATTAGGAAATTAAATTTGCCATCAGATTATATATTCATCATATCTAAGGTATCAATTGTGGGATTCTATATTACATGTAAGGAAGTCAACTTCTAAGCATGCCAATTCATCATCAGTTGTAACACAGATACTAATTTCAGAGTTTTTTTTTAAATGAGAAACATTTTACATCCTATGACATGAAAGTATTTTAATATTATTCAGTTCATTGACTGATATGTTGCCACTGAAACATGATTGGATTTCATTCTTAGTCTATTGTATGAGAGTCACTTAACCATTTACCCAATACGTTTCTCAGATCAGTTGGTTCCTGTCTTGCCTTCTTATTAACTTGTTCTCCTTTGATGGGGGAGAGTGATTTTATTCTGGCTGTCACAAAACACAGAATGATGTTGCAATCACAGTTGGCGATTCCTCTGCGTTCCCAGTGCAATTAACTTTTCTGAATTCTGTATATACATAACCTTTATTGGGACACATTTCAAGTCCAGTTTTTAAAAGGTTGAATATAAAGTAAAATGTTTTCCTTAAAAAAAGGCAAACCTTGTAGTCTTTGAAAAGCTTAGCTAATGGTTGTGAATTCATCCAGAGTAGCAGATTCCCTAAGAAACTCAGACCTTTAATTTATAACTGACTTTCCTGTTTTTGTCCACAGTGATGATGTCAGGTCAGCTAATATTATTGCTGAAGAAAATGATGTTGCATGCCTGGTTATAGATCGAGAGTGAGTATCTTGATGTTGGAGAAGGCAGGTGCCTGCTACCTTTGAAGACTTGGCCTTCTGTTACTCCAAGGTCCTATCTGTTTTCACATTTATCACCACTTAGAAATGCTGGCCAATCCTCAGCTGCAAGTACATTCTATTAAAATTCATGAGAAGGAACTGGGCCTTCTGATCTGAATCTGCTTCAGCAGTGGCAGATGCTGGGAGGCTAAATATTTTGTGTGCAGAGTTTACACATAAATATTAGCAATAGACTGATTTAAATTCTGTATCTTTCAGAGAAATAAATTTATTAGTTCTTGTATGGATTTTTTCATACATAAGAAATTGTGAATAATTTCATCACATATTTCTAAAATGCTCTTAGTAGTCAAAAGAATTTATTATTTTTATTTGTGTGTGTGTGTGTGTGTGTGTGTGCGTGTGTGTGTGTGTGTGTGCCACATGTATGCAGGTGCCCGTGGAGGTTAGAAGAAGGCATCAGTATCCAATTTAGCTGGAGTTACAGGCTGTCATGAGCTACCTAATGTGAGTGCTGGGAACCGTACTTGGGTGCTCTGGAAGAGCAGCAAGGCCTCTTTACTGCAGCAGAGTCATCTCTCCAGGCCTGAATTCTCTCTTAAAACATAAAATAGTCATTAGCTAGTTCCAGAGATGCTTTAAAATTTATAGGAATTTATAACTGATATGTATCAATATTGCTTTCTTCTTTCTTGTTTTTTCAAAATGTCTTGCTTTGTACACCTCACTACTTCACACCCTATTTTTAATCTGACTCTTTTGATCTTTCAAAAGCCAGATAAACTTTCACTGGCTCTGTAAGTGCCAAGAAAGAAAATTCAAATATTCTAGAGCTGAGTCATTACCTGTGTATAGTCATAGTGTTGTAAAAGAAATAGAACATACTCCTATGAAATATTAACAAAAGCAATAAAATGATGAGAGATATCACAGGGAGAATATAGTTAATGCCTGATTGACTAGCATTCGCTGAACATAAAATCATAGACATGAATAGCTGGAAAGAATATTAAAACATTGAAACAATCTTTTTAAAATACTTTATTATTCTCATTTTATGTGATGAGTATATTGCCTGCATGTGTGTAAGTGCACCTGCGTTGTGCAGTGCCCAAGGAGGTCAGAAGAGGGATCTCTCTGGAACTAGACTTAAAGACAGTTGTTAGTTGTGCTGGGAAGCAAACCCAGGTCCTCTGCAAGAGCAACCAATGCTCTTAATCCCTGAGCCATCTCTCCAACCCTGAAATAATCTTTTTATCATGGAAAATTTCAAACACTAAAACAAGAATAACATCATGAACTCATAATGAGGCTAAGCAACTGTCACTGTCTCCTCTACCCCCAGTACCACTCCATATCCTATTTATACTATTTTCAAGGAAACTCTAAATATGCAATTATTTTATCTATAGATTTTTCTAGCATCTCCAAAAGCCAAATAATATTTGTAGGCCTTATGATCCTAATGTTAACATGTCTAAAAAGTTAGCTATAATTGTAATACCACTTAAAACTGTTTTAATTCTCCCCTACAGATAAGAAAAGCAAATCTCAAGTAGGTTACAAAAACTTCCCCTGCCTGTGCTGTGTGTGACTGAGCAGGGGCTGCTGCCAAGTTTGCTAATTCATTTTAGTAGTCTCTCTACCATGTCAGAAGGCTCCCATAGCTCCTACTCAGAAAAAGAGGGCATGTCTGCAGTTTGATGGACAAGGCTTCGTCTTATTTTTTTTTAATGTGGAAATAGTGCTTAAAACAGGACTTTTCTTTTTTAAAAGAAAGTTTATTGAGCTTTTATAATGTTATACAACAGTTCTTAATCAAATTTAGACCCCTCCCCATCCATGTTTCCCTCCCCATTCCTCATGTATTCTGCCATACACGTTAAGTCCTATCCAGTCAAGCATTTATACCCAGATATCCCTCAGTGTAAATTTGTCCACTGAAGTCTAGTCAGCCCATCTAGAGATCATATGTAAGGCATACTCTCCCTCATCTAGCACCACATCAGTCTCCAGTAGTTCTCAGTCTAGGGCCAGCTTGCTACCCACTTATTTCCACCCCTCTGGGCCCTTGTTTAATTGATTTGTCATGGGCCCTGTACTTGATGCCTCATTGCCACAAGTTCACATGTGCAAGCTTCCAGTGGCCTGAAAGTCTCTGCTTCCCTGTGTTCATGAACCAGCACTGGCTCTTACAATCTTTCTGCCCATTCTTCCACAATAGTCCCTGAGCTGTGGGTGGGTGAGGTTCAATATAGGAGTCCAATTCAAGGATACATACTCTGCAGTCTCTTGTTTTTTAAAGCTTGACCAGTTGTGGCCTTCTGTGTGCATCACACTCTGTTGTGTAGGAAGCTTTACTGGTGAGAGTTAAGGGATGCATTCATTTTGTCTCTACCCCTTGTTCGGCTATGTTCCATGAGCCTTAGTTGAAGAGGTTAATTGTAGATGTGTCACCTAGTACTTGGCATCTCTCAGGCATATATTCTCTGTGTCTGAGCGGTTGTGAAATTCTGCAGAATCCTCCATCTGTTGAAAAAAGGAGCTTCTTTGATGAGTGGTGTATGGTATGCTTGTCTGTAAATATAAGGATCCATATTTAGCATATGGTAAAAAATTTCATTGTTGAGAGATACGAAAGAGACTGGGTTTTCTCTAGGATCTATGTCCTCTCCTGCCATGTCTATTTGGCTGAGTTTACAGTGCCACTCATGAGTTCATTCCTGGTGAGAGGGCCTTAAGTCCAATTACATAGCTGTTGATTGCCCCTCAGATAACAGTGTCACTTCTGCACTGATAGAGGTCATTTGCTATACTGGTCATTATGCTTCTTAGGGTTTGGGGCTCGATTATACGTACCATTGATTGTTTTTCTCCCTTGACAGTTTGCATTTTTTCATCTAGCATTATGATAGCTAAACTTTGGGTAGATGGCTTCCAGGTCAGTTCCTGCTCCATTGCTCTAAGTACTCTATCTGAAGCATGTCCTGTCTTCAGCAGTAGAGTCTTACCTGCTACTTCTGGGAGATAATCAAGATGTTTGTCAATAGTCTGTGTTATTTTGGGAGTCTCCTAGACCACTCTCACTAACCATTCAAAGGGCAATATATTCTATCTGACACTGTTCTTTGCCAAGCAGTTCCCAGGTATACATATGCACTAACGTTTAGACACTGTATGGGCATTTCTTATGGGATTTGGGGGGTTTCCCTCTGGGTTTCCTAGCCCCCAAGATTCATTCATCTTTACTGTTGTTTCTCCCATCCAGCCTCCCTCCTCCCTCCTCAGTCCCAGTGCCCCCTATTATCCCCATCCTCCCCGAATAACACCCAGCTCCCATCATACCCCCTCTCCTGAATCCCCCCCCACAACTTGGGCCCCTTGAACGTCTCTCCCTCCTCTCCCCCTGTCAAACACACCCACTTTCCCCATCTCCCTCTTGGTAACATCTGTTCCCTACTATCACCCTTTTGGATCCTTCCTTTTCTTTTACCTCCATGTATCCTTTCCATTTTTCTGCCTCCTGGGGTTACATCCAAATATTTATATACTCACATATAAGGGATGTGCTACAATCTTCAAATGAGAGATAACATATTTGCTTTTCTGTGCTTGTGTTATTTCATTTACCATAACACTCTCTAGTTCCATTTATTTACCTGCAAATTTCATAATTTCATCTTTTCTTACTGCTGAGTAAAACTCCATCATGTAATTGTGCCACATTTTCATTATCCATTCATCAGTTGAAGGACATTTAGGTTGTTTCCATTTCTTAAGTATTGTGAAGAGAGCAGCAACAAACATGGATGTACAGGTATCTCTACTTTAGGATGGGTCCTTTGTGCCTATGCCAAGGAGTAGTGTAACTAGATTATATGGTAGGTTCATTTTTAGTTTTTAAGAGTTCTCCACACTGCTTTCCATCATGGTTACATGAGTTTGCAATCCCACCAGCAGTGAATGAGCGTTCCTCCTTCTCCACATCCTCTGCAGTATTTGGAGTCTTCTCTGCTCTTGATCTTAGCCAGTTCATCTGGGGTAAGATAAAATCTTTAAGTGTTTTATCAGCATTTCTTTAATGGTTAGCGATGTTTAGCACTTTTTAAGGTACTTCTTAGTCATTTTTATTTCTTCATTTGAGAACTCTCTGTTCAGGCCTATAGCCCATCTTTTTATTGGGTTATTTTCTTGTTTCTTTGCTTTTTGAGTTCTTTGTATATTCTGGATATTAATCCTTGGTTGGATGTGTAGCTGGTAAAGATTTTTTCCCACTCAGTGGGTTTCCTCTTCCTTTCTTTGGCTGTTTCTTTTGCTCTACAGAAGCTTTGTAATTTAATGAGATCCCACTTACGGTCTTTGATCCGTTTGGAATTGACAAGTGGCCCTGTCATTGTGCAGGGTGGAAGATAAGGGTTCAATTTCATTCTTCTGCAGGTGGAGATCCAGTTTTGCCAGCACCAATTATTGAAGATGCTGTCTTTCCTCCATTGTGTGTTCTTAGCACCTTTGTCAAGTATCAGGTGACTGAAATTGCATGTACTCATGTTTAGGTCTTCTGTTCCACTGATCTACGTGTCTACTTTTGTGCTGGCACAATGCTGTTTTTATGACTATAGCTTTGTAATATAATCTGAGTTCTGGTATGGTGATGCCCCAGTGGGTTTTTTTTGCCCAAGATTGCTTTGGCTATCCAGAGTCTTTTGTGATTCCATATTAATTTTAGGATTTTTTTTCAAGCTTTGTAAAGAATGTCATGGTATTTTGATTGGCATCGAATTTAATCTATACATTGGTTTTGGTAAGATGGTCATTTTCACAAGATTAATTCTATTAATCCATGAGCATAGTCTTTCATTCTCCTTGTGTCTTCCCCTATCTCTTTCTTTAGAGATTTGAAATTTTAATTGTAGAGGTCTTTAATGTCTTTGGTTAAGTTTATTCCTAAATATTTTATTTTATTTCAAAAACTGTGAATG